AGCTGCCTCCTATCCTCCTCTGAGGGAAGCTTTGGATGCTGTAGAAGTTAGCTGGGGGAAGGGCAGCTGCTTGAGGGGCGGTCCTAGAGGGCACAAAGATGGTGCTGGCTACAGCTAGATGGATGGTGAGGGAAGCAAAAGGAGACCCCCTGCCCCATGCAGAGAGCTGGGTGATGGAAGCAGGAGGTAAAGAGACTCTTGCCTTCTTAGGGCCCTACAGCTTCCTTGGTCCTCCTCTCTGCTCCCTAACCCCACCCCTTAGGCTTGGAGAGACCAAAAAAACAAACAAACAAACAAACAAAAAAACAAACCACAACAACTGTGCCAAGAGAGAAATTGCAGCTCCTCAAAAATGGAAAGCAGGGTCATCATCCTAATATTTTGAATGTGGACGGTTCCAGAGAACAGCAAGACATGTCAGGAATGAGAATGGTCTGAGACAGGGCCCCAGGAACACTGCCCACTCCACCAGGGAGATGAAAGAATTTTCTCTTTCCTTTGCCTTTTAAATGTAATTCTGTCTGCCCTTCTCCCCCAACACTCGCTCAACCCTCTCGCTGGGAGCGGTGCAGACATTTAGCAGTCCTGGGAAAAGGCAGGATCCTTTTCATTAACTTCAGCCTGATTGAAGTCCCCAGAGCCATGCAGATTGCATTTTCCTCCCTCTCTGCCTCCCTGTCATGGATCGCTCCCCGCACAGCCGGACTGCTCTGGGCAGGGAGCATTTCTCCAGGGGGACAGAATGAGGCCATCTCCGAGGAGGGGAATGATTTGGGGAGGGTCTGGGATCAGTGCTTTTCAGGGCAGTGGCTTTGTGGAGAGACACACTCGTGTCTTCTTGCCCAGGCCTCAGTTTCCCCTGTACTGTGCGCACATGTTATCTCACTTTCAGCATGGAGGCAGGCGGGTAGCCCCCTCTGTCTGGGGTTAGAGGTTCCTGCAGAGGGACTGGAGGTTAGAGGCCTCAACCAGGGATGACGAGGTTAACTAGCCGTGGGATCTTGAGAAGTCGCTTATCAACTTCTGCAAAATAACTTAGTCCGGAAGGTTTAAATTTGTTCTAGGGACAGCACGTTTGACTCAAAATTAATTTGTGTATGTGAAAGAGCAGAGCTGCCGCTGTTGAAGGGAGGGAGAGGTGGACTTGGTGGGGGCTCTCTGGCTCGACGACCTGCCCTCACTCCAGTTCCCGGGGAGAGGTGGCTCCTGACCGCGCTGGGGACACGGTGGTTTTTTTCATCCACCCAGAGAACTTCAACTGTCTCCTTCAGGTCCTGAAACTCTTTGGGGGTCCAGATCTAGGTGGGCTGTGATTGCAGAATACAGGAGGACTTCCCGTCCTGTATTTCTAAGCCCCATCTGAGCACGGTCCTTCAGTGCCAAGGGCCAGCCCTCTCCCTTTCCTGGGTGCAGAAGGTGTAACGTTTGGGAAATAATCAGCTGTGTAAAGGGGAGCGGTCAAGGAGCAAGGTCGGTGTTTGGCCCAAGAGCTCATATGTTTGGTTAGAGCAAAGGTAGAAGCCAGGAGCCAGGCCGGCAGGGGGTCCTGATTGGGTGCCGGGGAGAAGCAGACTTCCACACACCCTCATTCAGGAACCCTTGAAGGAGGAGGTCATGAGGTTTGCCTTTGGCTCTTTCCCAGGTCAGATAACACCTGAAGTGTATGCTAGAATGTGAGGGAAGTAGTTCAGAATCTCCCAAGGTAAGGAATTCAAGAGTTCTAGAAGTTACCTGATAACCACACCTGACAGCTCGTCACCGCCTTCCCTAAACCCACCTTGGCTAAGCTAACACATCTAAACCGCCCTGGGCCCATTGTACTGTTTCATCCTCAGGAAGGGGAGCTCCCCCTCTCTCTGTGGTAGTGGGTTGCTTCACTGCTCAACCTCTTCCTCTTTTATCCTGTCTTTCCTTCAATTTAAGCTTTGACACCTATGCTGAAGTATACACCAATAGTCACGCATAAATACAGAGGCAAGAGAAGAGCTTGCTCTCATCATGTAAGTTAATTCATTCAAATTATCTGAGTGCCTACTTCATACAGGAAATGCTCTAGATACTGAGTGCCATTTCCTCTTGTCGACTTGAAGGGTGTCACAAGCCCTCTCTCACACTTCTGCTCTCCAGGCTCAGCAACTGGGCCATTCTCGCTCTCACCTCTGGGTTGACAATATTCCCCACTTTCCTTTTAAGTCATTTGGCCAACAGGTATTTATTGCCTAATCACCTGTCTGGACTCCTCATCCCTTTGAGGAATGCAGAAGTTACATACGATATAAATCACGGTCTTGTTGGGCATGGTCTTGTTAGGTGAAGAAATAAAAAAAATACACATGACAGCACAAAACAGACCCCTTATATCATTAAGAAGTAAATTGCATGCATCTGGTTTCCTTTAAGAGAAGGGAAGAGGTTATAAGGCTTCCAGGAAGGTAAGATAGATAGATCCCAATTTTGTTGAGCTAGGGACGTAACAAGTAATAACCAGAGATGCCATGTCTCTATATCCAGACAGATGGATCTGGCAAGTTCTCAATCCCAAAACCGCTGACACGAGGGAAAAGTGCATATGTTGAGATGCCTTGAACATGCTTGTGGTTGATTTCCAGATGAAGCATCTCAGAACTAGGAGGAAGTAGATGTTCTGTCTCACACCTTCTCTCTATCTGGTGAACTCTGTTAAGGCGGGGGGGGGGGCGGGGAGGAAGATGCCTGCCTGCTGGATTCCCAAGGCCTGGAGAATCCGACATTTGGTCCTATATGCTAACACATGTTGGTGGCTCTGCCCTTGCAAAGGTCACTCCCATGCTCAAACCTCCCTCTGACTTTTCTGTTCCTCCTCTCCACTCCATCCTTACCTTTGCTCAGCTCAAGTTAGAGGCCGAGACGGCATTGTCAAGATCTGAAGAGTAGACGGTCATTGCCGGTGAAATGAAATAATGCCTGGAAGAAGGGTCCGATAATAAATAGCAGCGTGCTTTATGTTACTTTATGTTACGTGCTTTATGTTACTACCTGGGGCTCATTGACTAAGAAAGTAGCACTCACCCTTTTTTGCTACACATGGCACCCCAACAAATTATCTCCAGCATGCCATCATCGAGAGGCATCGTTGTATAGAAGAGAGAGGATGAGCTTTGGGAAAATACAGTTTTGGATTTAAATCCCAAATACAAGTACTACCTGCGTGACCTAGAAAATGCTATTTATCCTCCATGAAGTCTCAGTTTTCCCATCCGTAAAGTGGAGCTGCTGTCTATCTCATGTGGCAGGTGTTAGGTTAAAAAAGAGAAACCATGGGAAGCAGCAACCACTCTGCTGGACACCGCTGCCATGCTCGACCCTTGGTGTCTCCTAATTTCCTCCTTAACGCGTGCTGTGGCTGGTGCCAGGGGAGCTCGGTCAGGACAGGCGCATCCCTTGTCCACGTCTTGATTCTATAGCCGCCTCACCTGAACCGCCTTATCCTGCTGCCTTTCCACTTGCAAGACTCAGTTCAAATTCATCTTCTTTCGGGGGCCCCCACCCTCACTCCCCGACCTCTCTTGCTTTATGCACACATGGTTTGATGCTTCCACTCTGCTCCTACCCTCTGCTCGCACTGACATACACGTATCTAGTTTTGATGCAACTGCAGGTTTCTTAAAGGCGGAGACACTCTTACGATTCAGTTTCACTCAGTGACGAGTCAGGGGCCCTCATGGCTTGTTGCTTGGCTGTTTTGTAACAAACAGAGGGGCCAAACTGACTGGCTGGCTGTCACGACGAATGTCCCCTTCTCTGGGCACCTGCAGCCTGGGGAGCCTAGCCATCAGGACTGGGTGTGAGGACAGAGGTATAGCGTGCACATTCTCCACCTCATTTCAGCTCTGTGCCGGAGTTAGCACCGCTTCCTGTATCATTTTCGGCAAAGTGATGTAAGGAAGCTGAACAGGCCCATTGAGCTTTCCTGAAGTCTGGAGGCACTGGAGCCCAGTGTGACTCCCTCTCTTTCTTGAACCAAACAAAATATTGTTACAGCAAACATGAAATCTTTCCTGTTTTTTGCAAACGCTCTCCAGGCCTAACAAAGCTAGCAGTCACACTCCTTGAATCAAAATAAGCATCTGCCCTTTTTCTCTTGATCCTACAATTTCCCAGCATTTTTGAGCAACAATAAAGAATGTGATTATTTTAGCAATTAATCGTATGCTTCTATCTAGTGCTTTCTGGAGAGGATGCAAAAATATCAAAACATGAACTTGACCCTTTAATATTGATTAAACACAGAGACCCAGAAAATATCTAAACCTGACTCTTATCTTCCAATATTGTACATGACAGTTTGAGGCATAAGCTGTGAACACCTAAATAGTATGTAAGATCAAAGGTAATATATGATGAAGGGAAACTGAGTTACATGCAGGTGGGCAAAGGGAAGGGTTATTTTTACTGGTCCAATTGAAGAAGAAGAAAAAGAAAAATAAGAAAAAGAAGAAGGAAGAGGAGGAGGAGAAGGAGAAGAAAGGGGAGGTGTAGAGCAGAGGGGAGGGGAAGAGGGAGAGGAAGAGGAAAAAGCAGCCCTCCCAAGGAGATGGCCTGTAACTGTATCTTTAGCTTTGGTATCACAGACTACTTTGATAGTAGGAAGAAAGTCAGGGATCCTCTTCCTAAGGAAGTGTTATGCATCTATAAATTCGTGCACAATTTCAGGAGCCTGTGGACCTGCTGAAGTCGACACACAGTCTTTGATCTATAATTTAAGACCATTCGTAGAATTGGTGGCACATAGAGAGAGGGCAGCAGAGGGAGATCCAAGTCAGAGGTGTGGTGGACACAAGGTGAGAAGGCTGTTGGGTCTAGTTTCCCAGCCCGGAAATACCATGTTTGCCTTTTGCAGTTATGCTTCTCGAGCTCCAGGTCTGGGCAGTGGTGAGTCCGTTGCCAATCAGTGGTCCTGGGGATACCGTGTGCAGACTTGGAAAAGTATCACTCAGGAAGACTCCTTTGTTCTTTTCCAGCTCCTCACAGCCAGTGACCTTGCAGCCAGCGACCTCAAAGGATTTCAGCCACAGGTAAGTCCACTGATGCTTTTGTGAAGCTCGGAAGAGTGAAATGCCCCATAGTTGGGTCATGAGCAAACGAAGCAGGGGCCAGGGCAGAAACCACCATAATGGATCTCCAGTTTCTCTGACAGTCTGATGCTGTCAACCTTGACAATGACCTGGCGGCTTGCCCTCTCCTTCCGGCTTCTCCTTCCTGTCTTCACCAACAAAACCACTTCTTTCTGCTGTCTCTCAATATTTTATAGTTGGGGGGGGGGGGGGGGAAGGCCAAGATGGCTATAATTGATGCATGGTGGTGGCAGCCTAGCCGAGGAAGATGCAAACCCAAGGGGTGGGGGGCTGGGGCTGGACTTCTCCCGGTTTTTCTCTTTTTGGAGACATTATACTTACATTTCCGAACTCTTTGTGTGCAAATGACTTAGAGTCAAGCTGTGGCACCAGGTTAATCTGAGAGTCCCCACAGGCAGCTGGATGTGTTTTGCTGATCACGGGGAAGAAATGGGCCCCCATTGTCTCTGGCTGGAATGCTGTTTGGAGGTCATGAGAGGGAGCAGGCAACGGCTCTCTGAGGACCTCCTTGGTGTTGGTAAAGATGGGAAATCACCCTCCCTGTCTTTAGAAGGGGACTACTGTCAGTGCAGGAACATGTAAGCATTTCCACACAGACACACAAATACACAGCAGACACACAGAGGTCCCTGTGTTCCCTACACACCCCAGTGGAGATAGAGCCTGTATACAAAGAGAGGTAAACCCAAGAGAGACAGCTGTGGTCCTCCACACTGACCCTGTCCCTCTTTCAATATGAACCTCTCTGTCACCTTTCCAACACAGTGCCTGCCCTAAGGTTCCCAGTGTTCCATTCCTCTCCGAGGAGATACCATCTCATGGCGGACACCTTCTGGGACAAAGCCAAGTCATTTTGTAACAGCAAGAATTCCATGTATTTGGCAATGTTTTCTTCTTTAAATCTGTTTCACATCCAAGAACTCACTATCCTATGTGGGGTACATCCTATGTGTTCCCTTATACTGCAGGGGCACTGAGGACCGGGCTCCTGGTAAGAAATGGCCCCAGATCACATGGAGAGCTGGGGACATGAACAGAGAGTGGAAAGTAAGGGGTTTAAGAAAGAGAATAAACAAAACAAAGGGCTCCAAGGGTGAGAGTCAAAGATGAGTCCCTGCACTGGTTTAGGGTGTGATGTCCTTCTGTCCACCCTTGTTGATCCATTGTTGATGCAACAAGGTTTTAAAAATAGATATACAGCAAGCCTTCCAGCAACTGCTGACCACTGATAATCAGTTATTCACACCAATTTGCAGGTGAGCTAAGGGAACGTGACAAAAAAACATAAGAAAATTAACATTGACCCATATTTTGCAGGTGAGCTAAGGGAACGTGACAAAAAAAAAACCTAAGAAAATCAACATTGACCCATACCCTTGTCCATGGCTACACTCACAGGCAGGGGAATCCCAGCTAAAGATTCATTTTCACCCTAAAATTTATAACAAAAAAAGAGGAAAAAAAGGCTTGTGTGGTGTTTTGTGGCTTGAAAAGGCACGTGGTAGAGACTGAGTTTGAAGAAGGGGTGTGTAAGTGTGTTTGTGTGTGTTTGTGTGCGCATATGGTTTTGGCGTCGATTCTTTCTGAGGTGGTCATGTTCCTGCCATGTCTGTTGAGCCACATTTCTAGATACTAGATTTAAAGCGAATTGTTAAGGGAAGGAAAAGTTAGCTCTAGCTGGGGTGCGTCCATCACATTTGAGGCCATGACGCTAGAAAGAGATAACCCCACGGTAGCTGGTGCAGACGGCTTACTCCCCTGCTTCTGTCTGACCTTTCCACATTATTCCATTTGTGTGTCATTCCCCTGAGGCGGGAGACATAAATGCATATTTTTCACTCCTCAGGATGCATGTTCCCGAGACCGGGAAGCCCTGGGAATCTTGTGGCCAGAGCGTAATGCCCAGATCAAAGTTAATTCTCCAGGGTTACTCCTAAATCAAAAAGGCCCGGATGTGTCTCGGGTCAACCCACCCTTTTGGGTGCTTTTCTGAACAGAAGCAGAACTGTTAAGGAAATTGTTGCCCACCCGGTATGGGCTGCCTTCTCTCAGCCCCACTGCTCCACATTGTTGGCGTCTGTTGTTTTCCTCTTTTTAGTTTCAGATGAAACAGAGCCCCATGCATCCTGATGTCCACAGTAATTCACGGACACACTCCCTTCCAGGAAGTGTGGCAGACTTTTGCAGGGCGGCGGGTGGAGGGAGCTCACTGAGACCCCGAGGACCCCCTGCATCCCCCCGGGGTCACTGCAGTCGGGTCTGTCAGCTTTCACAGGATTCACGCTTACCAAGTGCATCTAAGGGGTTTTCTTTTCCTCGCTGCCTGTTCCTGCCGCAGCCGCTTAGGGAAAAGAGCCACAATGTCCTCACGAATCTTTGACGGTCCCCCACTTTGAAAGTGTGGAGCAGCAACAACTGTCTTGCATTAGACTGTTGTGTCTCTCTGTCCTCTGTACTTTTTGCATCCACAGAGAGGAGAGGAGGGTAGGTAGATAGGAGTGACTATCTGTCTTTCTGTCCATGATTACTGGTTTGTAAAGACCACATGTTCATTCCTGGAAATAGGCACATTACTTCCAAGGACAAGCTTGAGGGCAGATGCTGAGCTTCCAAGGCTGGTAGAATAGCAGTGAGTGTTCTCCCTGGGCTGGTGCACTTGGCCTCTGCACCGCACAGGGAAGAACCATCTCCCAGAGTCAAGCCGAGGCTGACAGGTGGCTATTCTCAGCAAGTTTTAAAGGCTCAGGTGGAAAAGCTTCTGTAATTCACCTCTAAACCCCCCAGGTCCTCCTCTTCCATTTGGTTCCCACCCAAAACACATCTTTAGTTTTTGTTCTCTTATTAGTTTTGCCTTTTGAAGGAGCAGACACAGTGAGTCTCCTTTTTTTCTTGTCTTTGGGTGGTTGCAAATGAGGACCCTCATCCCCTTTGTGTAATCATCCCTCTCTACCCCCATGCGAATAAAAGCAGGTATCTTATTCCCATTAGTAAAATCCACCAATCATATGCTTTCTTCTCCATTCTTCTTTCCTTTTTTATCCCCGTGCCCCCCTCCCCCCAGTATAAAAGCTGTAAGTATTCACTGTAGAAATTTTGGAATGTGTGAAGGGAATCAAAAGGTACAAACTTCCAGTTATAAAATAAATAAGTCTTAGAGATTTAAAGAACAGCCTGGCAACTATAGTTAGTAATACTGTATATTTGAAAGTTGCCAAGAGACTAGGTCTTAAAAGTTCTCACCCTGGGGGGAAAAAAAAAATTGTAACCTGTGCAGTGATGGACACTATTAAAAAATATAACTTAAAAAAAAAAAAGAAATCTGGGAAGTACAGAAAAACATAAAAAATCTCCTCTTACTCCACCCCAGAGATCTAGAAAATGACACTTTGGGGTATAATCTTGCAGTTTTTGTTGTACATCAATATATATGCATCTCATTGGATTTTATAAAATGTGATATTAAATTTTATATGTTTTTTGTTACCTTCTTTGAATGCTTTCCATGTCAACTGAAGAATCTTCTAGCAGCTGGCCATTTTTGTCTGCTCGCTGGCTGCATTGTATGTTTACCACTACCTCTTGCTAGACATTGCATTACCTTTGCGGGCTGAGATCTCCAGGAGCAATCCGAGGCAAATGCTGAATCCATTGCCCTCATCTAGGATACAGGTGCTATCCAAGGCTTCTTGGCAGTTAGTTCTTTGTTTCTTGGCTCCTGCAGGATGATCTTCTTTTTCTTCTTCTCCTTCTTCTCCTTCTTCTCCTTCTTCTCCTTCTTCTCCTTCTTCTCCTTCTTCTCCTTCTTCTTCTTCTTCTCTTCTTCTTCTTCTTCTTCTTCTTCTTCTTCTTCTTCTAAGATTAATTTTTATTAGAGAGGGGAGAGGGAAGGGGCAGAGGGAAAGAGATAGAATCCTCAAGCAGACTCCTCACTGAGCGTGGAGCCTGATGCAGGGCTCAGTCCCAGGGCTCTGAGGTCATGACCAAAGGCAAAACCAAGAGATAACCGCTTAACCGACTGAGCCACCCAAGTGCCCTAATGTGAAGCCTTGTTATTGTTCGCAGTCAGCGTCCATGTGAATGTGCGCATGGGTACTGGTGCGCACACTTACAAAAGCCCGGGTGGGGAATGTGGTGAAGAAATTATCACAGCATGAGTCCCACACTCAGACACAGGGTTTCACCTGTCCAGCCTCGGTGTTGGGAAAGTGACCTTGAGAAGACTCATTCCCCCAGAGGAGAAAGGCCACTAAAGCACTTGGTTCTCACCTACTTTACAGACCCCCCATTGTCTCACAGGAGAGGAACATACTCATTTTGGGAAAAATGGAGTTTTACTTCCCGTGTGTCTTGTGACAGGATCTTCTGGGGGCAAGTGTCATTAATAGTTGTCCTCCCGAAGGTAGCCATTTTTAAGGAACTTGCCAAGTGTTCATTGCTCTTATGGCCAAGGATACATGGTAGTGGGAGGTGAGGAGAAAGTATATCAGGACCCACAGGAAGACATTTTTCAGTATTGAGAAAATGGCTTTCTGTCACCGAGTTGCCATTTTATTCAAAGGCACCCATGGAGACCTTTATGTGGGGCTCCCTGCTGTGCAGACGCTTCCCCAGAATCCATCAATTCTGTAATGTTCTGCCACTGATACCAGCTCTGTGACCCTGGCACAGTTACCTCATGTCTTTAGTTCTCGTTTTCCTTATCAAACAAAAAAGTTGTGTCGCTTATCTCACAGATAGTTGTAAGGATCAAATGGGACAATGTTGTGAAAGCAGCCTAGCGTGATGCATGCCACACACAGTGAATTCAGTTTTTTTTCTTCCATTACAGAACTACAGGTTAAATTATTTCAGAATTCAGGAGAAGGAGAAAATGTATCTATATAGAGCACGATTGGAAGTCTTCCAGGTAGAGATGTCATTGTACCTGGGCCAAGATAGTG